CCTGCTGCTTTTCTAAAGGTTTTGATAATGCCTGATCTTCTGTAATGAAATGTTTTTTGTAGGTGAATCTGTAACCCCTTTGGTTAGGAGAGCTCTGCTTAAATGTAGGTGTTCACTTTCCCACAGTAGAACTGCTACCAAGTTGTGGCCAATTGGTAAAATGCAATAAAACTGAGGATTTGGGAATTGCCGTTTACTGAGACTTACTGTCTTACTGTTAGTTCCTCATTGATTTTGATCTGTGGAGCCTCCCTGGTACTTCTAGCGCTCTCCTCCAAAGCTCTTACAAGTGTCCAGTGCCCTCAGATGTCCACAAAAGAGCTCTGTCTCACTGCTCCGCTGACTGCACCACGCAGAGGAGCAGGATCTTCGTTAAACTTGGATGAGGTGATTCTTGAATGTCATCCAGCTATGCTGGACCCTTCTTCTCTCCAGGGATGTCTCCCATGAGGTTCTTACAAGCAGATTCTTGAGCAAGTCTGCTCTCATGAAGTCCTGGGTTATAATCCTGCTTTTTGTCTTGTTCCCTCCTCACGGGATTCTGAACTCAACCATCCTGTGGTCACTTCAGTCAGTGCTGCTCACTGACTTGCTGACTTGCCTTCCTTGCTCATGAGATCCAGCAGAGCAGCTCTCCTTGTCAGCAATTCGTTCACCTGTGTTAAGAAATAGCCATCAGTGCACTCCAGAAATGTCCTAAATTGCTCGTGCCCTGCTGTGTTGTCCCTCCAGCAGATGCCAGAGTGGACCACAGGTTGTTCAAGTTCCCCATGGGAACCAGAGCCTGTTAATGTCAGGCTTCTTCCAATAGTCAGAGGAAGGCTTTTCTTCCTTATTCGGTGGTCTGCAACAGATCATAAAATCATAGAATTGTTAAGGTTGGAAGGGACCTCTAGAGATCATCTTGTCCAACCCCCCTGCACACGCAGGGTCACCAGATACCCAACACAGTGTTGCCGATACTGGTCTGCCAGCTAATCCTGACTCGCAATCTGTCACCCATCCCCAGGCAGCACTGCGCCCTCCCATGGACTCTCATACATGTGCCAGCTCCCCCTCCTCACTGTCCCAGCCTGTCCTCCATAAAGAGCCTGTGCACTCTCCAGCTTTGTGAGCTATCCCACCATGTCTCCATGTGCCCAGTGTAACTGTGTTTTTATGGCTGTGCACAAATTTCTCATTTCTCCTGTTTGCACCCTTTGCTGTGTGCATTACTGTATGGGCACTTCAGAGAAACACTCTTGCACACTGGTTTTCCAGAGAGGATGTGAGAGCTTTCCCCACAGGGCTATCGCATAGGCACTTCTTTGTTGCCTATTTTCATGCATATGCTTGTGGTGATTCCACTTCTGCCCTGTTGATTACGGTGTTGTTTACTAAGTTCCCCAAATTTAGAGGAATAAGTAGGTTTTGATTGGTCATTGCATCGTGATTTGTTCATATGAATTGTAAAGGACACTGGTCCTTTCAAATAATCTCCAATGTTCCATTTCACAGAGCCTGAATTTGTGCCTATGCACTTGAGGGAAATGCTAATGCATTTCTACAGTGACTAAATGGACATGAGAGTGTCAGGTTGGATCACTTAGTACTTTCACCTCTACTCGTAAGGCCTGTGCTAAAGCATGTGCAAGATCTGTACTAAAGTATGTACGTAGAATTTACATGTGTTCAGTTAGAAAACTTCGATAATTATGGCTTTAGTCTTAAGATACATCAGATGAGTTTGTACCTGGCCAGTGAGAGCTAAGCCAAGATAGGTCACAGACAAGAAACAAAAAATAGAAGTTGGGTCACTTTCTGTATGTAGTGTGGAGTTATACTTTAGTTTTGCTAATACTACATAAAGAATGAAGATCTTACATTGTTATTCCTGATTTCTTACTTTCGAGGAAAACAATTCGAGGAAACTGACAAGAAATCAATAGGACTCTCACATAACATTGTAAAGCAACAATAACAATTAGGAGATTATAGGAATATAATTTTATTTAGACATAATTAGAACTTCTATTGATAAGAAAATGTAGTGAATTTAGATTCTTAATTTCCAGCTATATTTTATGAAGAAGTTTGTAGTAGATACTCTGTGCATGTTTGGAAAAATAAAAAAAAATAAACAAGGCTTGAACAACTTACATTTTCCTTGTAGAATTAGCTAGTGGGGCTGAGGATCAGTACATCAGATAAAATCTACATTGAAATATAGATTTAAATATAGATTCTACATTTCAGATGTAGAAACTGAGAGGTAATTGTCCCGAATCTTAACATTTCAATGAAAAGTTAAATTTCCAAGTGAAAATCAAATGGTTTTCTGATCCACAATTTTTTCTAGGTGAAACTTCAAGGAACTGAAGACATATGTGTCACTGAGTCCTAACGGCTTAA